GAGGAAAGTGCGAGTTTTTCGTATTGCTCTCGGGCCGACTGGACTGTATAATAGTCCACCGGTTTCCGAAATCAGTTTCAAAAATTTGATCATCGATCTCAAGAAGAGAACAAGGCACAGCGCGACACTTGAAGTCACAAGTCACATGGGAAGTACGCACGTGAGCGTTCCTCTCAGTGACGAGGTGACGGGGACGTACTGAACAAGACATCGTTGCGGAGACCTCCCGAGCGTTACAATTTAACAGATTATTTGGGGGATATGGTTCACTTTTTCGGCAAACGCCGATTGTTGTCGGGTAGGGTGATTCCTTCTAAAACATACTGCGTAGAATTAAATGCCATTACCTGAAGGGAGTTTTAATTTAATAGAAAAAGCTGATTTTGCGGGAGACGCGCTGACTGAAACGCCATCTAGCGGCAGTCAATCGCGGGCTTCGCGTCGGGGTGGCCGAGGTTAAAGAAAGGAGGTGATTAGTGTGGGGTGGGGTGGCGTCAGTGTAGTAGTAGTCCGAACCCACGTCTCCTTCCACGACGCTGTGGCAGTCACGAATTTATGGGAAATTTGCAGCCGCCGCAAGGAGATTTGCAGGCAGTGGGATGTGCAAGTACACTTTTCTGCCCACGGCCACGGGATTCCCTCGTCGGGCTGGGGATATTCGCAGACGGTGGGTGCCGAACGGACTCTTTCTAGCCCACGTCGGGAAATTTGCAGTCAATGAAGTCAGTAAATTCACTTGCGTGGGCAGGAAAGGATCCTTTCACAGCGCAAGTGGCATGCAAAGGATACTTTCCATTCCAGTAGGTAAATTCCCAACCCATGTACTGCAAATCCCGAACCTTTGTACATGAAATTTCCCCACCCAGTAGCTAGTAAAATTACTAATATTTTTTACAGTGTAAAAAAACTTTCTAGCATTTATGCTTATATTTTATCATACAATTGTCTAAGTCACAAGAGAAGTTAAGCAACCCGACCAAAACCAATGTAGTCTTTTCAAGACTTTTGCACTGTAAGATTATGACCTCTTCTGTTGCACAACACAGCAATACAAGTCCACACGACATTTCCACATCTTTCAAATTTCTATTCAACAGGATTCAAACTATGTAAAGTCTCTAACACAGAACAAAAAGCACAGTCCCTCGCACAGCGAGCGCTGCCTCGAATTGCACTCGCAATGATACAGTCTACTTCTATCGACGGTGCGAAAGGAAGCCCTTTCGCGAACTGGAGCCTCCACGGCACGCCTTTCAAATTGGCGAGCCACAAGTGGCCAGACACTGACAAGTTTGCGTCCACAGTTTTGCACTCTGGCCTCGGCCGACACCGGGCCTCGGCTCACTGTCCACCACAGCGCGAGGCCGGCGCAACCAACCAGGCCTCGGCCGCCGCACCAGCCCCATCACCGGCACACGGAGCTGTCGTCGTCCGCGGCGCAGAGGCCCTCGGCCGCGCTGAGGAACAGCTTCCCGTTGCCGCACATGCAGAGCTGGTAGATCTCGTCACGCCGCCGCCCCTCCTGCCGCCCCTTGGGCGCCTGCCCCCGGCCGGCCTCGGCCACCGACATCCGCATGCCGGGCAGCATCACGCGGGCAGCGTCCAGGCGGATCTGCAGACAGAGACGAGTTGCGTTAGCTGGAAAAGAGCTGATGAATTTGCTACTTTGGCCGTACCTTGGAATATTAGCTCGCTCAGCTAATTATCAGCCAAGACAGCTAATAGCAAAATAAAGCAAATATGAGCCAAGATAGCTAATAAAAGCCAAGCGAGCAAATATTAGCCAAGATAGCTACTGCTAGTCAAGATAGCTAATGTAAGCCACGAAAGGTTATATTAGCCAAGATAGCTACTAGTAGCCTGCACAGCTAGTTCCTTTCTCTTCTCGACCTCGACAACTGTTGCGGTTCATTTGTTAGCTCTATAAGCTAACAGTTACGCACGCGAGTTAATATTCTGATCGAAGGCCAGAGTAGCGTATGCATTAGCTATTTCACATATATTTTTTGTGTGTGACCTCACCGAGCCAGCCACGGACTGCAGCTTGAGGTCCGTGAGGCAGGAGGCGCTGATGTCGCCCGCCCTGGACTCAATGGCCACCCCCATGGGAGCGTGGACCGACAGCCTCCGCGTGGGCGACTCCAGCCTGGCGACGGAGAGAGAGCAAGTCAGAGAAACAGTGGGGTCAGACTGGGTCAGAATACCGTAGGGTCAGAGTACAGTAAGTGGCATCACGCAGTGGGGGGTGCCCACCTGAGGTCGCTGCCCGAGTCGGCGCGCACTGCCGGGGTCTGCACGGAGGAGTTGAACACGGCGCCGCCCTGGCCCGTCACCCGGAGCAGCGACGCACCCACCACCACCTCCTTCTTGTCGGCAGAGAACAGCGTCCTGCCCCTCGAGTCCTCCACGCGGAACCCGCCCGTCGCGCACTCCAGCCGGTTCTTGTCTGCAAAAGAGAGTGACATTTTAGCTTTCACGGGCAACACAAAGTGACGAACCGGAGACAGAAAACAGATGGATGAACTTCGATGAATTCCACTAACTTCCAATATTTCAACGTGTAAACATTTGCATGTGCCGAAAAAAGTGTTTTTTGATAGTTTTTTTTGACCGGATTCCTTTGGAGATGAAGCCGTCCGACTCACCCAGGTACATCTGCGAGGCGACGGCGCCCGCCTCGTCGCGGACGTTGAGCGTGAAGTTCCTGGAGGACTCGATGGTGATGGGCTGCCCCCTGCGCGACCGGATGTTGGAGGCGATGAGCGCGTCCATGACCATGGCCTGGCCGTTGAGCTGCAGCCCGTCCCGCACCACCCGGAGCTGGCCCATGCCCTCCTGCGGAAGGACAAAGTAACACATCGTTTGAAGACACGTAGTCTCTGTGACCGAGGCGGCGTATAGAGGGAAGCTGACCAGGGCTTGACAGGTGGCCACGTCAAAGCTTCTCAGTGTCAGGCGCTCTCTCTGCCCCCCCCCTCCCCCACTCTCCCTCCAGCGCACGCAGCCCTCCCCCCCACGCCAGCCACAAACACTTTGAGCGGATCTGCTGAATCTTTCATCAGGTTTAAAACTGAGTGAGGAGAGAAGGGCCCCAGAGAGGACAGGAGGACAGCGGGACGAGCGGGAGAATAGCGTGGGGAGGGGGGGCGGAGGTAGGGGAAGAGCAGGTATCCGATAGCGAATGCGGGGCGCAGCAAGTGCCAATTCAATACGAGGCGTGAGAGTCGGGGCAAAGGGAAGAAAACAGACGTAACACGTACTGCGGCTCCCCCCCCCCCACCACCATCACACGTCGACGCAGAGCACGCCGCCTCTCTGCCTCCCAGCCGCCCCCCTTTCCACCGCCCCCCGGGCGCCGCGGCGTCTTCCCATGTCGCCGCCGCTTATCGAGACAGCCGCGGCCGTCACTCGAGACTATCGATTGACTCGAGACTATCAATTGACTCGGAGAGAACTAGAACCAGCGAGCCCCCCAGTAGCGCCGCACGCCGAGCTCTGCGCAATGGTATCACTCACTCCAGCGCCACACGGGGGACGGGCCGCTTTCAAAAAGTACCCGTCACTTTGAGGCAGGGCGGGGTACTTTACCTCCGCTCTTTACTCATGGGTGATGTCACACTTTTTCTCGAGGCAATAACTAGATTATTCCACCCGGGAACTTTTCTTCTTACTGAGTACTGAATACCTTCCGAAGCACGCAAATTTGTAACGAACCTACCCTGCAAACTAATAGTACAAAAAATGACGTAATTAGTGTACGCCCCTCGACAGAGTTGCTCCCATTACGTGCCAGACCAAGCGCGGCTCAGGACTAGCCCGGCGGGCGCGGCGGGAACTCTTCCCCTCATTATCAACCAGCCCGCGCGGATAAATGCGATAAAGAGTTCCGTTACCATCGGCGGTTGATGATGACCGCGTCGCCCCGTCAAGGGGAGAGGAACAAGGCGGAGCCGGCCTTCCTGGGCGGGGCGGACCACCCGGGGAGAGCGGGGAACGGTTATAACCACGTTAGGAGGAATAAAGGCGCGGTGGAAGAGGGAAGGGAAGGGCCGCCCCCTCTGGGGACCCCCGCCGCGCCCGCCCCGCCCCGCTCCCGACACTGATCGCCCGAGCCACGCGGCGGCGGCGAGAGGCAGATTGCTTTTGTTTCCCGATTCTACTTGAGCCCCACTCAGCGTCGCGGCCGGTGCCCTTTTCAATTGCGGTGCGGCGCTCCGCGGCGGGGCGGGGCGGGGAGGCCACA